TGTAAATGTGATATTCCTTGCCCCCTCTACTTTTTCCTAGATATATGTACAGATTGTGCTTTCTTTCAAAATCATTAAAGAAGAAACTTGGGCAGTTTCAAGGAAAAAGTAATCACTGAGAAGTTAGTATCATTTTACATATTAGTTGATTTATTTTTCTCTGAGAGTACAGTCATCAAGACAAACATTAGTAGCTGCTCTTACCATCTGGCAGACTCTGTAGTGGTTTTGAAGAGCTGCTGGAGTGAAAGATCTGTGTTGGAGTCGTTCTGCTCTGGGAAATGCTGTGGGGTTTTGAGGTTCACGAGACCTGTTCTTTGTGTCAGCAGACTAGCTCCATTCCAGGGACAGAGAGCAGAGCAGTAGTCTGGGAGTTGTGGGGATGGTTAGACCTGGCTAGAAGCTACAACAGCTTTTGTCCCAGGACACCGGTACCTGAGCTCATGCCTAGCTTTTGGGTTGGCAGGAGAAAGGATGGCAGGCTCCATCCAGAGTTGTGGAAGATGGTGCAACAGTAGTTATGGGAAACTTGATCTGCACTTTGAGGGTTCTGGGAGCTGGAGAGAGGCTGGAAATAGGTGCTCTTATGTGGATTTCTCCCAGCTTAATATCACCAGCGGTGTTTCTTTTTATGAATAAAATTGGGGCTCAGACGTGTTCTTGAGCAGAGCTACATACAAGTGCCTAATGCCTGGCTGCATTCTTTGCTGCCCCGCGGCTGCAGGGTAGCAGTTCATGCCTCCTCCCGTGGAACGCTTTCCTGAACCACTGTATAGGCCCGACACTGTTTCTGTAGTACGCCCTCATGCTAAAATGAAAACTTGGTGGTGGGCGATCATTTACCTTGGCTATAGGCTTTTTTGTGGAAACTTGTGTGACGAAAGAGGCAGCTTAACCAGACTGGTGTGTGTTAGCCACTGGAAAGGAGAACGCAGTAAAGAGCTGGGATGATGGGGCACTCCCAAAAATACTGAATAGTCATTCTGGCAGCCTGTCAGAGATGACTTCCTAAGTTATTACTGTTCAGACGAAAACAAAATGCTCAATTGTACAAATATTAGTTTCCTGTTTTTTAAAGATACAGCCTAAAAGGTTTGAAGGACAGGATATGGAAAGGCTTCGATTCTGTTAAAAATGCGTAGAGACCATGTGCTTGCATCCATTTCTTGAGACCCATAATCTCGTGTTTCTTTTCCTTCTAAGATTTCAGAACATCTGAATATATGCTTCAGAAGTGGTCATGGAAAATACTGATATGGAAATTCTGCCTTTTTTTCAAAGCACTTCCAATCTTAACCTTAAGGCGCAACAAAAAGTTGAATTAATCAAAACTGCGACAGATGTGTCATAGCTGGGAAGTTTGTCACAGCGTGAATCCTTTAGTGCTGGAAAAGTGCTTGGATACCTGAGTCATGGTTTTTTGGTAGATCACCGAGAACACATTCAGCAGGACAGAGAAACATTTGAAGGGTATAATAGAGACACAGTTGTATTAGAAAACTGTTACCCCTGCTCTGGAGAGCAATGGGGAGGATTAGCTGGCGGTGTCTCTGCCGTGTGCTCATGGGCCTTCAGTTCGTCAGCAACTATGGGAAGACGTGGAGATGTGCCACTGACCACAGCTTAGAAAAGTGGTGGAGATGACGTTGGGAAAAGGTTTATTTTGTAGGGCAGTGAAAATTGTCCCAGTGCAGGAGCACAAATAGAAAGGAAAATCCTCAGTGGAAGGGGAATGGATTTTGAAGCAATCCTAACTACAGGAGATCTCAGGCCAGGAACAAAAGTTTTAGTGAGGCTTGTAAGGCAGTTCTGGCAGGGGCACGGGCACAGAGCAGCCGGGAGGATAAGCCGCTTCTGTCGGAGAGGTGGTGCCTGGAGAATAGCAGTCATGGGCAGGAACATCGACAGCAAATACTATAGCAAAGTGGAGGGGGGGAAAGGAAGGGGGGACTGAAGTGGTCAAGGGAGGATTTAGGTAGATACTAACGTATAACTTAATATAACTTGATGAAGATGTAGGTGTTATTCATAATTGTTGATTGGCTGTTACGGTAATGGATGCTGGGGCATTTTAAAATCAATGTTTAGATTTGTGTAGTGTCTCTGTTCAGCCCTTTGTATACTTTCAAGAAAAACTATGCACAAAAGTCAATTAAACTCTGTAGTTGGCAAGTATTCCTATGGTAGTTATCAGCCTTTGGAGTAATCTGGGAAATCCTGGGCTCTAGTCCTTTGGGAGAATAAGGAGAAAACCACCCAGTGTACTCTACCTTGCAGTCATGGATGGGCTTGATGACACACTTTTTAACTCCTTAAATCCTCTCAGAAGTGCCTTCTAGCAAAGCCCCACTGGGGTGGCTGGGGAGGGGGATGGCTGCAGTGGTTAGGTGTCTGGTCACCCGGCTCTAAAGGACCGGCGTTTAAGTGGCGTCTGTGGGCTGCTTTGGCCTGTGACTGTGTTTGGGAGCTCTGAGCCTGGGCTTGAGCTGGTGCGAGTCGCCTCGTTTCAGAGGCCTGCCTGGAATACAGCTGCTTCCGGACATCCTTGTGCCATCCCCTGGGTTTCTCTGTGATTCAAAACTTGGATGTGTTACGGCAAACTTGTGAGAAGTGCCTGTGTGGAGCCTCGGTTTGTACCAGTTTGGTTTACCGTACCTGGGTGGTGGGGAAGTTCTGACGCTGGTTCATTTTCCCTGTAATCGGTACTCTAAGGTGTGACAGTTCATAACCAGTTAGGCCCTGTCTTTCAATTGATGCCGTTTCCAGCTGGCCTTCTGCATCCTTCCCTTCTTTCTAGATAGCATCTGACTTCTCAAGCTTTGTATGCAAGTCTTCAGAGACTTTATCCAGAGCTATTCAGTGAATGAAGAAAACTTCTGAGAAGTCAGTGTTGAATTGGGCTTACCCTGCTTGGATGAGACCAAAAAATTGCTGGAAAGGGGCCCTGAAAGACCCAGTTCTAATTTTGATGACTATTCAGTAATGTCTGCCTAAACAGAGCAAGAAGGAAACAGGCTTTGCTTATAAATGAAAACCGTTCGCTGGCTGCTATTACAGAAATCGTGGGATCCAGTTTTTAACCAAAATGGTTGTAAAGAAAGGCAGCTCCCTACAATCTAAGTGAATTTTAATCCCTCCACAGAATCCAAAATCTTTGCGTTGGCAAATACCAGCCGGCCACAATGGAAATATTCAGAGCCAGGGTAGCCTCATAAATATCGGAATAGGGACCACAAGCTGGAGCTTGCAATGAAACCAAAGATATGTATTAAATCAAGAGAAAGAAAAACTTGTGTGTTGTTTTTCTTTTGAAAGCAGTTAAAAGAAGATGAGGGCAAGGAAATATTTGCCTCATTCTTTCAGAATTTCGGTTCTGAAAATTTTCTGCACATCAGCACAAGTGACTGCCTCAGAGTCTGGGACAGGGAGAGAAAGACCTCCTAGTACAGAAACCAGAATGGAGATGGATCTTATCCCAAACCAAGAAGCATACATGTAATTAACAAATGCAGATTTAAGGACAAGGGTTTAACATCAATTAAGGGCTTTTGGCCTTTTCTGAGAGCACTTGGATGCTGAATTCTGCGCTGTGCTACTGGGACCCCAGATTGCGGCCCGTGCACGTCATCGTTGCCTGCGGTGTCTTTCATGTCAGCTGGAGCCAGAAAGTTGGATTCTTTCCCTGGCATTTTGCTGCGTTTTCTTGGCACTTTACCCAGCTATTAATCCGGTTTCTCCTGCTTCTTGTGGGGCTGTGTACTCCTGCCACACTTGAGATGGGGTAGTGGCAGAGCTCCTTTCGCTCTCTCTGTGCTGGGAATTACAGGGAGTCATGGACATTTGTGACTTCAAAGGTGCTGACCCATTAGTCACAGCCCAAACGATGAGAAACCATTTTGACTTTATGGTTTGGTCCTGCCATTGCTTTTGCGACTGGCCTCCTCGGAGGGAACTCTGTCATTCTCCAGCAGTGCTGGTTGATTGCTCTTATTCAGAGGTCAGAAAGCAGAGAAAGTTAAAAACTGGGGAGAGTCTTGTGTCCCAACTTCGCTCGTGTTGCTTCAATCACCTTCTGTGGCAAGAAAACCTGATGTTTCAAGAGCCTTGAAATTCTCAGTTATGTACAAATTTGGGTATTCCATCAGGAAAAGAGCCCTACGTATCTGGGAAGGCAGAAAAAGGGTGAGGACCCATGGCAGCTAACACTGCCAGTCTGATTTTTTCATGCGCTTGCGTCAGTTTTCTGGTCTTGCTGTATTGTTGTCTAACAGGCAGAGAAAAGGGCTACGTTCTCAGTCAGAAATTGGAGTATATTTGCATATAATTGTCTGATCAGGATTTGAATGGCCCTTTGCAATTGTACACTGAGGTGCCTCTGCAAAGGATGTCTTGGCTGAAACAATAAGCAGCAAGATTTCCTGGCTGTTAATATTAACAACAAACATTTAAGCAGGCTGTAGAGAAACAATGCCAGTTAACCACAGAAAGATTTGGGGAGAGGCTTACATGGAATGAAAGCAGCTCTAAGTGTAAAAGGCAATCCACAAATGTTGCTTTGAGATGCAGTCTTGCTGGCCTGAGGATTGGGGCTTTTTTAATTTTGCTTTTTATTTGGAGGGCATGTAAAAATTCTGAAAAACCATTCAGGCATCCTGTTGGCTATATTAATTGTTGTGTGCCTTACCTTTCTGTACGAGGATAAGTCTCTATTTGGGGGTTGGTCTCTGAGGCATCATTAAGGAAGGTGGTTAAATTTTAATCAGCATTAACTGGATGGTGAACTTCACTGAAGGGCTTCTCCTTTATAGTATCTGCTGGCAGGAAGTGTTCAGGCTTCAAAATGTCTTTTATGGATTCTAAGCAGAATATTTATTAGTTGCATTGTATTGGGTTTGCATGGCAAGGTTTTGGTAGCAGGGCGGCTACAGGGGTGTGGCTTCTATGGGAAGCATTAGAAACTTCCCCTGTGTCTGATAGAGCCCGTGACAGCCAGCTCTGAGATGGACCCGCTGCTGGCCAGGGCTGAGCCCATCAGCAACAGCCATAACGTCTTTAGGGTAACATGTTTGAAAAAGGAAAAAATCAGAAGAGGGTGGATTTTTGCAGACAGAGAACAAGATGTGAGAGGACCAGCTCTGCAGACATGCTGGGTCAGTGAGGAGGAGATGCTCCAGATGCCGGAGCAGAGATTCCCGGGCAGCCCATGGTGCAGCCCATGGTGAGGATGGCTGCGCCTACGCAGCAATGGAGGGGTCGGATGCCTGAAGGAGGCTGTGACCCCGTGGGCAGCCAACGCTGGAGCAGGCTTCTGGTAGGAGCTGTGGCCCATGGAGAGAGGAGCTCAGGCTGGAGCAGTTTCGCTGGCAGAACTTGTGACCCCAAGGGCACCCAGACTGGAGCAGCTGCTCCTGAAGGATGGCACCCCTGGGAGGGACCCACTGGAGCAGTTTGTGAGGAACTGCAGCCCCTGGGAAGGACTCACATTGGAAAAGTTGGTGGAGGACTGTCTCCTGTGGGAGGGACCCCACGCTGGAGCAGGGGCAGAGTGTGAGGATCCTCCCCTGAGGAGGAAGGAGCTGAATGATCTCTCCCTGTCCTTATCTTAAGCGATGAGCTTTTTATCGTATTTTCTCTCCCATCCAGCTGAGGGAGGGGAGTGATGGAGCAGCTTCGGTGGGCACCTGGCCTCTAGCCAAGGTTAAGGTTAACCCACCACACTTGTGCTGCTGCTGCCTTTTTAGGTGTAAAATATAGCAGTGAATATGGAGACTTATTTTAATATTTTAAGGAGAAAAATTGGATAAAGTTTACACAAATGCAGTAGCAAATGCTAAGGTGTTCTTTTTTGTGATTGCAGGCTGCTTCCCACAGGGTAACACCAGTGTTGTTCTCCCACTGATGTAGTTGGTAATCTTGGGCTGGTTATAAGCAGAGACTACAGAGGAAATTTTCACTGTATCTTTACACTCTGCTGGAGCCTGCTTGTAAATCTTAGTGCTTTGGGTCATTGCTGTGAATGACTTCAAGGTCTTGGCTGAGGAAATACTCATTACTAGCTGAATGTAACGAGTGATGAAGCTTTTCCATCTTCCCTGTTCTCTCTGCCTTAGATCAGTGTAGTTTTTGATAGTGTCAAGGGCACCCATTTCCTCCTTCAGTCACCTGTCCACTGGAGTTCTACTAATGGAATTATTTAGGGACTAATATGTTCCCATTTAAAAATATTTGATCAATATAAAAAGAGGGAATGAAATTAAGTACTCTAAATGATAACATCTGCTTTAAGTCCTGTGCTGCTTAAGGTACTTTAACCATCTGTAAAATGCTGCAGTTACCAGTCCTGGATATACCGCTGCACGGAAAGAGGTACTGGATTCTGTAATGGTACTCTCTACAATACCATAAACTATTTTTCTGTGATATTCTGATAGTCATATTTTGGGGAGGTGACAAAGTTGTTTTCCTGGTTGTGTAGCATTGGCCACATGGGAATTCTATTCTTTCTTTGTTGTAGATCACAGAGGCCTTGTTAAAGGAAAGAGATAAACAAGCAAAATGGAATGGGATTCCCTTGCTGTTGCAAAAGCTATATGAACATAGCCACCCAAACAGTGATTTCTCCCAGTGCCAAAGCATCTTAAAGGTAATGTCTGCACTGTTCTTCTGGAATGCTAGGCGTTATTTTGTTGTTGCTTTCTTTAAGGTCTACTGTGATCGTATTCCAACTGATTTTTTGATACTGTTTGCACAATACTATCTGTGAATTGGCTGTAGATATGAGCTGGGAATTCATGTAGTTGATTAGTCAGTAGATCACACAGATAGTTGGAGACAATTGTGTTTATACTGATGAACAGTTTTCTTTTGAACAGTCTTTGTTTTTTTACTGCATGCAGGAAATATCTCCACTTCTTTCAATGGAAGCCATGGCATTTGTTACAGAAGATAGAAAAGGTGCTCAAGAGTTCACTTTCCCAAATACATACACGTTTGACTTATTTGGAGGAGTCAATGTAAGTATGTTTTTTCAGTAATATCGAAAGATTTCTGCATGATAGTCATGAGAAATCGGTGAGGGCTTTTGAGGCCTTTGCGGCTTCTAAATGGAAGCTACAGAATAACTTACCAATTTGATGTTAGGCATTAGAATTGTGCCTCTTTCTGTTAATTAAAATGTGAAAAGGGTGTATTTTCTGAGGTGTTAGATCATCAAAAGTGAGGTGCTTTTTCTCATATGGTATTTAAAAAGGTGAGACCTCTAGGCTGTCAGTGAAAAGTTTCGAATGATTTCTAGTTGTGGCCTTTTTTTAACTGCACTAGTGCTCTCACAGCCAGGCTGTCTCTGCCTATTGTTGTCATGCAATGTGCGTTATTTCATCTATGGGAAAACTTTTTTAAACACATCGGCAAGGTTTCTGCAGACACTCTGGCAGTGTTTTTGTTTATTTGTTTTAATTCTACGTTACACCAATACCCCCAAGTTTGTTGAATTTTATGATGACAGACTCTGGGATCTTAGCTTTCATTAGAAATGTATGATTTGTCTTTTCCAGTGAATTAATTGACACTTTTCTTTCCTTTTTTTGGTTTGGTTTCAGTCTAACTAAACAGTGTCTTTGCTACTTCTCTCTCGTTACACATACCATGCCTTTACTTAAGTATAATTTGTATTTAGGTTACATTGTTTTGAAATTAACACTGGTTTAGTTGCTGGTGTCCTGTCAACTGAGGACAAAAGTCTTCAGCTACCCAAGGAGTTTAGACCATTGTATGAAAATGTTCCAAATTTCCCTTTTTTTAATGGAAAATAGTGATACTTGCTGTAGAAGTGCTTGTAACATAAGAAAGCACAGCAAATGGTTTTACATTTCACATTTAAATAAGAGTGTGTGTGTGTGTTGGGGTGGTCAGTTGGTTGGGGTGTTGTTTTTTTTTCTGGAGATTGTAAATATCAGATACACTGTAATTACCTGGTTCTATGGCCAGAGATTTGCCTGATATAAGTGGGTTTAGTCTAGTTAAAGGCAGTGGTAGAAGCCAGTGCTGTGTGTTTTTGAAAATCCTACTCCAGGACCTGAAAGGGAAGTAGTCTGATCCACTGATTCTGCGTTGTAGTATTTTGAACTGTGGAGCATGAGTAACTTTGAAGGACAGTAAATTTGCAGTGTACTTTGTATGCTCTTATGTCTGATAGCATATTCCTTAAAATGTTTCTGGATTCTGACAGTCTTTACATCGAGGAAGAACAAAAACACATTTGGATTTCCTCCCTTTGTATGAATACACGTAAAATATTACTTGAGAGTACAAACACATGAACTGGTACATGAGCCTTGGACTTTGGACCTGAGTGCAACCCCATTCCTTGAAATAAGATCTCATAACTCCCTTTTCTGCTCCTTCTGCCTCTGGTGAGGCACCTTCTTACCTATTCTCTTTCTGCCATTGGACTCTTGTGCTTCTTGCTGCATACTGTTGCAGTTTCAGTAGGATGGCTGAAGAAAGCCCTCTCCAAGGAGTGTCTCACACCACTGCAGTCCAGTCCCTGGAGTGTATGTGAGGAGCATACCAGTTCTGCAAGAATAAGGTGATAAATACATGGTGGGTTATAGTGTTGACCAGGAAAAATAAATACTAGCTGAAAAGGCCTGCTCTGTGCAAGGCAGGAGTGATCATGACTGTGGCCACCCTTAAAAAACAGACTTGTGGCAGTAGGTATTCTTTCCCAGGAGAAGAGCAGGTGGCCTGCATCCCAAGTGCACAGGGATGTCTTTGGATGCTTATCTTATCTTGGGTACCAACCCTTGAGGTGTGCATTCTTCTCCTAAAATGTAAGCCATTAGTAACAGTACTACATTACTGTTGCAGTAATTTTTCTTTACCCTACTGATGCTAAATATATTGCTGGAAAATGTATATTCATCTTTAAAGTTGCCTATTTATTTGTCAGTGCTTAAAATGTGGGCAGTGCTGTCAGATGTCTTCCTCTGTGTCTGAGTAGACAGTTCATTAAAAGAAAAGTTAAGTTGGGACAAATAGAGCAAGTTGTAAAATCTAAGTACATTGTCAGTTGGCATGACTTGACTGGGTGATGCCTACATTGCTCTTAAGAATTGTAACCTGAATTTTAAAACTAGGGGCTTTTTGCAGTCCTTCTTGCAGAAGTCATCAGTTCCTTCTAGTGGCTAACTCTTATTTTTAAACAAACTGCTATGTTTTAAAATAAACCTATGGTATAGGTTAGAACAAGTAAAGATCAGTTCTACATCTCTCAGAACCGTAGTCCTAGTCTCGGGAAGCGGATTTGCATTCCTTAAATAGAAATGAGAAACTTGACCTGTCTGTAAATGTGTATGTAAATATACATAGGAAGGTGCAGGTACCCAAGCAGTGGCTTGCTGTTTGTTGGCGAGATGAAAATCTAGAGCAACTAAGTTCTGTTATGTCTGAACCTGAAATGTATTTGGAAGCCCAGCAAGATTTAGGGAGAGCTTTGCAAAATGTACATCTCTGCAGGTTATAGCTAAGGATTCATTATGTGGGGAGGTGTGTGATAGCCATCCTGGAAGGTATCTGGATGTATGTGAACTTACATTCTTTGCAGACTCAAATTCTTTAAAACTCGCCAGTAGGAGATTGTTTCATACGAATGTTACTGTTTCTTCAGGGTGAATACAACTGGAGTTTTGTCAGTGTAATTTTGACACCAATGGGGTTTTGACTGTAGAGTTTCCATTGTTCACCTCTGACTTCAGCAGAGACGGGACTAAGTTTGGACTTGTCACTGACAAGTTAAGTAGTTACTTGTATCTCAGTGATTGTTCCCTTAATTCTTTATCTTGTTGTTACAGCTTATAGTAGAAATTCTCATGAGACCAACTCTTATTACACAGAAAAAGAAACAGAAAAGTAAGTAAATAGGTGCTTTATATTTTTTCATTCTTGCCTTGTGCCCTTATTCAGACAAGCAATTATTCTATTTTCCTGTCACTCTTTCTCCTGTTCCTAAACGAATTATTGGCTGCTTTGTTCTCTGTGGGTACTGATCCATGGTGGGATTTAGGATAGTCACCTGTTGCAAAGCACAGCTCGGGAGGACTGGTGCACTCAGCATAACATACTTCTCTTGTTGCAGCAAATCTGCAATCACTGGAAACTTCCACTGCTCCTGTGGCTATAGCTACAGTTAACAATTATTGATAATAAGCCACAAAACATTGTTTATGTTATAGGAGCTATAGCGATGGTGATATTAAAATTGGGCTGTTTTCCTGAGCTAGTCATAGGGACTACTAATTTCCAAATTGCACAGTAGCTTTCCTGCTGGACCAGCTTTAGTGTTTCCATTTCTCCTGTCTGTGATTCTGCCGGTACCCTGAACCCGTCTGAGGAAAGGAAATGTCACGGTACACTCCATCCCTATCAGCCAGGGAACTTCAGAGGTGAAGTAACTTGAGCTAGAAGTGGTGGTATGTCTGTGCTGAAAACATTTTAAATATTGAAATGCTGGAGTAAATCAGATTGAAGGTGTTTATATGAGTTCCTGATACTGTGTGGTGAAAACTCTGTGAACTGTCCTTTTTCCACCCCACCACACCATCCACCCGTGCTTAATTGGAACTAATATGAGTGTTGGCAGTTTTTCCTATTGACGCATTTTGAGTTGATCTATGATGTTTTTCCTAAAGTACTGTTAACACCCCTGTTGGTTTCTTCTGTGTGGCTGAGAAGTGCCCTAGACCCCAAGTACATCTCTGCCTGGGGTCCTAGCCAGTGCTGGTAGTAGTTTTGGAAGAAAACATGCGAGCAGCTCAGGTGTAGAGTGTTTGTATCCTCATATGGGCAAATGCCTCAGATCTGAGCTAGCAGATAGCCTGAAATGTGCACCCCTCTTACAGCAATTCCTGCCACTGCTGTGGCTGCTGGTGTTCCTCGGCAGCGTGTAGCTAGTGAATGTCTGTTTTCTCCTTTGCAGTAAGTGATGACCTCATCAAGGACTGTTTAAGCATACTGTACAACACCTGTATATGTGTAAGTACAAGTGCTGTGGAAAAGTGTTCTGCTCTTCGTTTGACATGTGCCACTTGATAAGGCAACGTACAGACCCTTGCGTGTAATTTAAGCTTACTCTGAACCTCCTCATGAAAATTCCTTCAGTTAAGTATCAGACCATCCTGTATTTTTATGTGTTTTTCCAAATAATTTCAGTCTTCTTGGAAACAATGTCAAATTTTTATCATCTTGTTCAGTAAGAGTGCTGGCAAAGTATTTGAAGTTTGATCCTGCAACTCCTTCCTGTGCTGAGTTCAGTGCAGTTGGTGGCAGATGGGGGCTAAGGAAGATGCTGGGTTAAAGGCCTATTGCAATACCGTGCTGTTAAAATGCCGCAGCTAAAAGCACGTGCCTCAGATAATGCGTGCAGGGGACATCCTCAGGATTGTTACTTAATGACACATTTTATTATGTCACAGCCTAGGGAGCATTATTTAACAGAAATTTTTTAAAAGGCAGTTATTGACTTGGAGCTCTTCCAAAGACAACATCCTAATCTTGAGCCGGAGTCTTAATAGATCATGTTCTCACTACTGAGTGTCTGGGTACACAAGGGAGGGGGACGAGAGGGAGCGCTTTTTTTAACTACAGGTAATGCGACTCTTGCAAACTGTGAATAGCATAATATGCTAAGGAACAAGTTTGCAGTGTATAGACTAGCTACTGGTTTAATTCAGTATTACTGCTTGTATTACTTCAGTATTACTCTCTTGAATGACAGGTGTGCAGGGTCAGAAATACTGTATGGGCAATATTAACTGTTGTTAGGCTTCTGTGTAAATATTCAGCAAGTATCTAAGCTAGCCTAGTTCTGGGCACTGGCAATATGTCAGTCATGTATGATAGACAGCTTTGCAAGCAGTAAGGATGTAGTTTTGAGTTACGTTTGATTCCAGAAAAGCCTGGCCGTGCTGCTGGCACAGATCAGAGCGTGAAAGCTGGCCTCAGTGATCAGAGCATGAAAGCTGGCCTTAATGAGCTTGGTGACAAACCTGACTTCATGATTTAGCATGGCTTTTGGGTTCATCACTGAGCTCATTAAGGCCAATGCTTGATCCTGGTTGCCGAGAGCAGTGCTGACAGTTTGGGAGGAATCTGGGAACTGCATTTACGTACCGTGAAATGGAGCTGGTTACAGTTTGTGTGGGAGACCAGAGACGAGCCTCTCTGACGCGTTTCCAGGCATTTCCAGTGTTTACTTTTGATTCAGACAAGTAAACAACTGCCTTGAGATGAAGCCTCTCATCCTGGAGCCTGTAGTTTTTGCAAAGGTCATGTGAACTTCAGACAAGGACTGGAGCTAGTTTTGGTCACTGCAAACACAGTGTTTCCTGGTTTCAGGAATAGCTGATTCAAAACCACATCAGCTGTAGATCTGTCCTGCGTGCCTGTAACATACAGCTTGTCAAGGGGGGCTCTGATTCTGGGTCTGTGTGTGCTCTTGCCACTTTCTAGACGGAAGGAGTCACAAGGCGATTGGCAGAAAGAAACGACTTTGTGTTGTTCCTGTTTACACTGATGACAAACAAAAAGACATTCCTACAAACTGCAACGCTCATTGAAGATATCCTGGGAGTTAAAAAGGTTTGTGGCTGGTTTCTTAATTTTATTTGTATGGCTTTTCAGGCCAGTGGAGGAAAGACAGCTGATTGTTTGAAGAGTTGCTGCAGATAATCCTCTCACCTAGCACTCTCACCTCATGGAGCTTATTTGAAACCCAGCAGTATACAGTGATCATTAACTTCAGCCACGTTTCATACAGAAACCCAGTTATGTATGTGGTATCATACTTGTGAGGCTTTTGCATAGCTTGCAGAGGATGACGGGGGAGTGCCTAGAGCTCATTAAAGTACAACCAGTATTTCAAATAAAATGAACCTCGTATTAATTAACTTTTCATGCTTGCCTTCTGATTACACTTCAAGTATTTTAGTAGTCTTCCTGACATCTGGAAGGCTTTCCATGCTTCTCTCTTACCTTGGCCTTTGTCACTTCTCTGAGAAGTTGCAGGCTGGGGGAACAGGGCACGGAGGTCTCCTGCACACGCCAGGTTTTTGAACATGCTTGCCAGCGTCATCACTGTGTCCTGCCCTGATGTGATGCAAATAAAATCTTAGGGGTGTAATCCTGGGAAATGTGCTTATGTACATTTTATGGAGAGGGTCAGGATTCTGTAACTTGCTACTGTTTTTTGAGTGGAGTTGAGGAAGATGTTCTCCCTCAGGAAACAAGCTTAGCTTATTTGAACATAAATGCTTTTTGCTGAAAACTGTTTTCAACATCTTTTTCATCAAATGATCTTTTTTATTAAAAAGACTAAGAAAAATAATCCAGAAGTTGGTTCTCATCTGCGAGTTTCAAAGAAGATACAGAAACAACAAGCAAAATTGAAGCTTTCCAATACCTAAGTGTAATTTTTGTGTTAAATTACAATGTGGGGTGTGGGATTTTTGTAATTAAAAGGTCCTAAAAATTTATGTAAATAATTATTCTTTAAAACATGGTTTTCTGTACTTAAGGAATTGATGAACATAAGTGACACCAGTTGTAAATCACAGCTGTTTTCAGACTCTTCACCTGTAGTGACACCTTTACTACCATGCCCGTAACATGGGGAAGAGCTGTAGCTGAAGCCTTCTGCCTGTGCCCACTTACTGACCATCATGTGTGACTCACTCGGTTGATGTTGCCTTCTCCAGGAAATGATACAACTGGATGATATCCCCAATCTTGCGAGCCTGGTGTCCAGTTTTGATCAGCAGCAGCTTGCGAACTTCTGCAGGATCCTTGCTGTCACAATTTCCGAACTTGACACAGGGAGTGATGACAAGCACACGCTTCTCGCCAAAAATGCCCAGCAGAAAAAAAACTTGGGTCCTTCTCAAGCTGAAATTAATCAAGGTAATTGTTACACTGTGAACAAATGCCGAAGCATCTCAGCAGTGTGTAAAGTTTCCCTCAGTGTCCCCTCCATAATGTACGTATCTAGGGGATGCTGTAAGCATTCTGTCTTACAAAGCAGTCTTCTGTATGCACTTTCCTCGAGCAGTTTCCTGGAAACAATATTTTCTGTTAATGAAACTTACTTTGTCTTTCTGTTTCATATGGTGTTGGTAATTAGGTGAGTTAATTTCTGTCATTTCTGCCCTCTCTGATGAACTGAGTGGCTTAAAATAGTTGGGTTTGGTTTCTATCCCTCGGTCACTTCCATGGCCTTCCCTTTAGCAACTCTCAGTAATTCGGTATTCCCCTTAAAATATGAATTCCTGAACTAAAACTGCATGCAGCATGGTGGCTGTCAGAGCAGTTCCATCTCTGATTTTATCTGACACTGTCCTGAGCAGGGTGTGCTTCTGTATCAACAAGGGAAGTGTGTTTAATATGAATCATGTTGCCTAATGTTACCACACCAGCCTTGGAAATCTGTGGGTCTAATCTCAGCTTTCACTTTGGGCACAGTGCAGGTTTCCTTATTTTGCTGAGTACTTCTCAGATGCACAAGTCTTGCCTAGAAGGATGGGATTTAAATTATAGTACCCTTAAATGTGCAACCTGCTGTTTTCAGCTCTGACTGTGCTGAAAAGCTTGTGGGCTTTTCAGATACGTGCAGATACGTGCATAGGCCCATACTAAACAATTTTGGCAAGTGCAGAAAGCTGGTTTTCCCAGCTTCTAATGTTTTGTTAACACAGACACACGTGAACAACAGAGCTCCATTTGCAACTGCTGCCACCTTTGAAGCATCCAGGGAGAGATGGCTGGCATAATCCAGGAGGCAGAAACTTTAAAGGGATGTGTATTGTGTTCTGCTCTGTATCGCCAGAGCTTGCTTGTAAAGGCCAGTGGACAAGAATGGGTAGGTGTGGGTACAAAGTTTAATTTAAAGTAGTTCAGCTGAATAAGCTTGGATGCCACAGAACTGAAATTAGCCAAGCAAATCATAGAACCATAGAATGGTTAGGGTTGGAAGGGACCTTAAAGACCTCATCTAGTTCCAACCCCCCTGCCATGGGCAGGGACACCTTGCACTAGACCAGGTTGCTCAAAGCCACATCCAGCGTGGCCTTGAAGACATCCAGGGATGGGGCATCCGCAGCTTCTCTGGGCAACCTGTTCCAGTCCCTCACCACCCTCTCTGGGAAGAATTTCTTCCTGATATCTAATCTAAACCTCCCTGTTTTCAATTTGTACCCGTTACCCCTTGTAACTTAAATGTAAATGCTTAATAATTTTTTATTTGCACAGTTAGAGTCTGTACCTAAAGACTGTAAAGCATATTCCATTTTAAACATTTTATCAGGGAGCTTATTCTTTCAGAGATGGGCAGAGCAGGCGGAATCTCTCAGCTCTTCACATAGTTTCATGGCCAAATTCTTTGTCCTTTTCTCCTTACATCTGCAAGTGTGCAGTGAAAGTGAGGACTTAGCCATGTAGCTGTAACAAACAGGTCCTGTAATGAAGTCATTCTGTGAAAAATTTAGGACAAAATGCAGCTCCGAGCACCTACCCAACCCCCCCCAAGCGTCTTGCAGACCAGTGACTTCTCTCTTTGATCTGCTGTTTCTGAAGGTGCAGTTCCACAACAATTAAAACCCTCTAACTTGGGGCTACTGTTGTGTGTTCCCTCTGTTTTGCTCCATGATGAACCAATTCAGGTAGCCAGTACCTAAAGAGCTAACAGCTTTCTGCCCAGCTGCTGGAGTGAGCTAGTTCAGTTTGCTGAGACCGACACCACAGGAGGTAAAATGGAGGAGGTGGCATCGCACGGAGGAAAGGGGCAGTGGAGCTGCCCCGTCCAAGGGCTGCTGCTTTATTTCTGCCAGCTTCATTTTCAGCCATATCAGTTCCTTCATATTGACTGGCTGTGGAGTGAAAAAGAGCAGTGCCAGCAAAAGGGAATTGGCTGGAAACAAGCCATTAGAGTAGGGTAGAACTAATTTTTTTCCAGTGTAAGTCCAACACAAACCAGTGTAACAGCGATTGAACTATGCCTAGAGTATGTACCCTCTCTTCCAGTCCTTAATAGGAGAGTGCACCAACTTTTTCCATCTTTGGATCTTTTTAACCAAATGGAATTGGTTTCTGTTTACTTTTCTCTATTAGTAATGTAGATGTTTTGGTACCTTGTGGTATAGAGGATTTGATGACGTTGTGTTGGTGATCTTAAATCCTAACACAGTTACTTTTTCTTTTTCAGCAACACTGTTGAATATTCCAGGCTTCATTGAGCGATTGTGCAAACTGGCAACACGGAAGGTGTCGGAAACAACAGGTACTTCCAGCTTCCTCCAGGAGTTGGAAGAATGGTACACCTGGCTGGACAATGCACTAGTACTTGATGCACTGATGAGAGTGGCAAATGAAGAGGCGGAGCAGAGCAGTACAGGTATCTGGCTTGCATTCCTCTAGCCACTGTTAGCTGATGCATATCTTAACCACCTTCAGTGTTTGCCATGTGTTGCTTTTCCTTTCAGCCAGTGTTGATTCCCCTTTTCTTGCATGAAGGGCTGATCTGCCAGCGTTTAGGTCTCACTCCCATTTTGTTCCCATGTAGCACTGCTTTTTTTCATAAACTAAACCTAGCGAAAAGAAATGTCCCATGGCAAGCTGTGCCCCTTGCACACCTAGATAATGCTGTAACACTGTACCTCCTCGGTACCAGTCTCCCCTGGAGCAACAAAACCAACACACATCTGAGGAAAGTGACATTACCAGCATTTTGCTCTGAGACTTGGGCTGATGGCTTTAGGTCATATCAAGCAAGTGGTCCCTCCGATATGAAAGAAAGATAGCTCCAGCAAAATTAAATAATGGAAACCAAAAACTGTTCCAGGTGAGCATATGGAAGTGTTAATACAACCCTAAGAAAATGTCTTGAAGCAAGTGCGTGGTTTGTTTCTTCACCATTCAGTATTACAAAGATGCAGTGCATATCTTGTAGAACCCAGTAACGTAATGAGAATTACCCCCAAATTTTGATACCTAAATCTTTGCTTCTATGCTTCCTTAGAAAACTTTATTTCTTATCCAGCTTCATTAGTTTTGTAGCAATTGTTTATTAAAACTTCTGAAAATTCAAAAAATGAAGTGTGTGAATGCTCCAACAGCATCTCACACGTACCTTTATACACACCATCATGGTGGAGACTGGAGAGTGCCTGGTATTTTGAAACACAGTTCACGAGGCAGTTTTGCTGAGGTGGAACATGCCCAGTCTGCCCTTTCTGCTCTTGACCCACAACATCAGTTAGCAGGCAAACCTGGATGTACTTTCCCAGAATGCTGCCTCAGTCCCAGTGGCTTGTGGCTTAGGGACTTCTGAGTCAGAGGTGGTGTCTAGGCTCTTCAGCCTTTGATGGTTTCCTTCCTTTGTGTGTTTGCGTAGTTGCTGTTTCTTCACGTGGTTTCAAAAAACATTCATGCTATCCCATGGCAGGATAGTTCATCACTTAATCACGTATTGTGTAAAGAGTTAACTCCTTGCTGAACTGCATCTTACACGTTTCACTATGTCCTTTTTTACTTTCTCTGTGTCACTCATGATTTCTGTATGCCTTCCACTTGAAGTCATTGTATGTTATATCCTATTTCTGCCCTTACTATTATAATTCTAGGTAGGGCTTTGAAAATTATTTAACTATGGCCTAAGTACACTGGTACTGAGATATGAAATAAAAGTAGACTAACAGTAAATGCTTCTGATCATCTCACCCCTACTTTTCTACTACCTTCTGCTATGTTCTTTTTTGGGCAGTAGACTGTTAATTCATATAGGTGACCCTATTTATTTTCATAGAATCACAGAAT